AGCCCTGCCTTCCAGGACCGCTGCCACCCACCTCACCCCCGTCTGCCCTGGGCACTGGGAAGAGGCCAGCACAGACTCTGAGCCCACAGCAAGCAGCCTGCCCTTGCTCCGAGCATAAATCAAGGGGGGCACATGTCCCCCATGCCTCCCCTGGGGCGTGTGCAGCAATGGGGAGCCAACCCCTGCTTCCCACCCTCTTGAACGAGCTGCCCATGGCTTCATCCCACACCCCACCCTGGCCCAGCTGGGCAGCACCGACCCCGGCCCCACTCCCTTCCTCACCATGGGAGGCCTTGATCAGTCATCCCCCCCCCCAGACTTACCAGTCGGATGCTGCTCCCCATGCTGCTAGGCTGCACTCCTGGCTGCGTGCACACAGCATTTATCAGTGACATTATCGGCTACACCGTCCAAGAACAGCCAACGCCCGATAATGTCAATTTTCCTTGTATCGGTGCCAATCCAACTGGGATTGATATATCAGTGCACCTCTATTTTCTTGAAGTCCTAACTACTGGAGTAGTGTGTAAAGGGGGGGGAAGAGGAGCTACATCTTTTTAAATTTGAAAAATGCTCAACTTTTGTATTCGGTCATTGGAGGGGAACAAGAGCCAAAAAGCATGATTCGACCGAACCCTAAAAACGCTAAGTCAGTGGCTCCCAAGGTACCTCTAGGAAAATGCCACCTTTTAGTTTTCACTTGTTCTTTTTTATTTTCATTTATTTCTTACTACAGAAAAACAATTGGGCAATTCTCCTGCAAGGCCCTCAGACGGCCACAGCAGGTCTGAAGGTCAGTGACACTGCGGGCTCCTGCTCCAAATCTCTGGGGTCACCTCGTGCTGACACGCCTGCCCGAGAGGATCGGGCTGAGTGTCCTGCTCGGCACCCCGCGGCCCGGCGGGCGAGCTGAAGCCTCAATGCTGCCAAAGCAGAAGGGCGCAGCCTGGGCTCGCCTCAGACCGGAAGCGTCAGGACTAGAGGCCAAAGGTGCCTCCTGCGAGGCCGCGGGTGAGAGGGAAGCGGAGGCCCGACTCCTTCCGACGGGCCGCGGCGGCACCGCACGAAGGGTCCGATCCGGTCCGACTGGGGAGCAGGACCACGCCCC